AATTACATTTGTCACTAATTATTTTTCATTTAATTACATTTGTCATTAATTATTTTTCATTTAATTACAATTATTTACATGTTCCATTCAATCTTTTAATATCCATGTCATAATGAATCTAAATACCTCTGAAGATACCCCAATAGGTTCTCCCAATCAAAACCCTCCAGTTAAACCAAAAAGAAAAAGAAGATCGTATAGTTGTGGCCAATGTAAAAATTTGAAAATTCGCTGTGATTTGAAAATTCCCTGTTCTTCTTGTGTGAAATTTAAAAGACCCCATAAATGCTTATTAGATCCTCCAAAACCTCCCTTTGATGAAGAATTAGCTAAAATGAGATTAAGAAAGTTAAGAACCGATAAAAAGAAACAACAGTTAGAACAACAAAAAGCTCAATCTTTAAACCCCCATCTTACTTCTTTTAATCGATTCCCGGAAACTATCCCTGAAGAACCTCATCAATTTCATCCCATGCAAAATATTCATCCTTTAATGAGTCCCTATAATCATCCGCAAAATTATTATCCTTATTCTTATCCTCCAGCATATCAAAATCAACCTTATTTAATGAATCAAATTCCTCCTAATGTTCCTAATGTTAATGTTCAAACCCATGTTCCTCTACAGCCTCCTCCTCCTCCTCCCCCTCCTCATGCTTTACCACTTCATTTACAACCTCATTTACAGTCCCATCTCCCACCCCAATTATCCCCAGCCCCGCCACCAATAAGTCAAATCCCCCAATATCCTTCCCAATATCCTCAGTTTGCTCCCCAATTACCTCCCCAATTACCTCATCAATTACCTCATCAGTTACCTCCCCAATTACCTCATCAATTACCTCAATTACCTCCTCAATTACCTTCTCAATTACCTTCTCAATTACCTTCTCAACTACCTTCTCAATTACCTTCTCAATTACCTCAATTACCACCTCATCCTATTGCATACTCCCCGGAATACCAATCAAGTGTAACCTCGCCCATCTTTAACCCCATTCAACTGGTACCAATGACAAACACCTCCTCGGATAGTGGGTCCACCGGTACCCCTCCAACTTCCTTTTCAATGGCTAAACAACAAAGTAGACAAAGTCCAATTAAAAAATTGATTCGTGGTAATCCAAAAATTATAAAACACATAAATGAAACAAACTTATTAAAAGATCAAGATTATAATGATAATTTCACCATAATTAATTTCACATTAGAAGAACTGAAATTATTTTTCAAATATAATATTAAGAATGAATCAGTTCTTATTGAATTATTTAATCTTTTCTTACAGACTCAATGTATTTTTGAAGAAGAATTATTAGATATTGAAATGGTTTATGAAAAATTAAATTGTTTCAGAACAATGCCTTCAAATAATCCAATAAAATGGGATGTCACGTCCTTAAGATGGTTAAGTTTAGGTTTTTGGATATTAATGAATGGGACCCTTTTAAGTCCTGATCGATGGTTTCAAAAAACTCAAATAACAAATTCTCTTGGAAATCCAACAAAATCCCAACTTTGTGGTGGGTGGTTAAAAATTTGTGAAATTATTAGATCAAAAGTGGTATTTACTAATAAAATGAATGAATCAGTTTATTTAATTAATTGGTATTTATTAAGTAAAATGTTTTATTTTATCAACACTGGTCATAAAAAGGCCGGAGAAGAACATAATAGATTATTATTAAAACTTCGTGATAATGAGGAATTTATTAATCTTATTCAAGATAAAACCGATGAAGAATTTGACCAAGCAATTACCAGAAGAGAAAATGGTAATAATTCAATTGAATTTTTTGAAAATGATGAAAAATATTATGTTGCAAATATTATGTGGATTCAAATTAGATTTGCAGAAATAACCGTTCCATATATTCAAATTAAAGATAATTCAATTGAAGAAAAGGAATTTAAAGAATCAGCGTTACCCCATAAAAAATTATTAATTCTTCTATTTGGATCAAATATTTTTAAAGGAGATGAACGATTTATAAATTTAAGAAATTTTCAAATGCAAATGTGGGCATTATATTATAAGGGATTCAATAATGTTAAACTGGTTAAAGAAATGATTGAATCATATTTAACCTTGTACAAAAATATCGGGGATTTAATTTTTGAAAGATTGAAAAAATTTCAAAATAAATTGAAAAATAATAATAATTGTTTAATTACTGAACAGGATTTGGTTCTAGTGGTTCAAGGCCAACTTGTCATGAATATTTTTGTTCGATGGTTAAGTTTTGTTAAATTAGAATCGGGGTATTTCCCAAGTTTAAGATATGCTTCTTATATCATCACTATAATATCTTCATTTAATTGTTTTAATGCTATTGATGAAATCATTGTTAATCAAACTAAATCCAGACTAACTCTTAATCATATAATTAATCGAGATTTTGATTATACAGTCATTAATTTTTTATGGGAATCTCTAATTACTCAAGGGATTTTTTTAGTTTCCCTAAGATATTTCACTTCAGTTAAAACTGATGTTACTCCTCGAGTAAATTTAATGAAAATTTATGAAAAAGTTAATAAAAATTATCGCCATACTTTGAATAAGTTTGCTGATGAAAAACGTGATGGGAATCCAATCGTGGTCCAGGATGAAGATCTTGATGATTCTCTTAATATTAATACTAATGAAGAAGAAGAACCTAATGAATCAAAAATTAATCCAGTAGAATCAATCGATCATCAACATTTAGAAATTAGCCATATTCCCTACTATAAAAAAATATTAAAAGTTTGTTATGGATTCATCAAATTATTAGACACTGATCATCAATCAAGACAGGAAGATGATTTAAATGAATTGGTCTCCACAATCGAAACTAATCTTAGTAGAAGTAGTTGGCAATTTTTAACCGATGATATCTTTGGATCATCCGGAACATTTGTCACTTATATCACTCGAATGAAAGACTTGTTCGTTTTTCTAAGAGATACTGATGAATTTACAAAAATCCCAATTACAAATAATATAGAACTTAATGATGAATTAATTGAAAAAAATTCCCATCAATTCACTACAATGGAACTAACTCAAGAAATGATTGATGAATACATCGAGAAAGTTGTTACCCCAAATTTAAAAAGTACATAATCGTTTATTATAGATAAATAATATTAAAAAAAAAAAACACTAATTTCACTTTAATGCTTAAAATTTTTAACTTATTCGCAATTTTACTGCTGACAAAGCAACATGTTGGCACTATTCGGTTATCCTGGCAATCCTAATAAAAACTCACCGACTTTCAGCCACTCAGCTCCAAGAATTTTCCTTAAGGTCATCGAAAAACCCCATTTTAAGGGGGGGACCGGTGCAAAATGACTTTCCATGGAGGCTTTAGCCAGTGCCCTAATTAAATCTGGAACACTGAAGTAGTGAAACAAAAAAAAATAACATGTTTTGAAGATTGCAATACCTAAAAATAGCAAAACCCGGGGGGCGGAACGAAGCACCCGTGCACCACAAAACGGTAAAGAAAGCGACGGACGGTAGTGCACGCACCCAATATCAGGTAGTGATTCTTGGTATGGCAGTGCCCAATCAAGCGATGATATATAGACGAAGATATCTAGGTATATATATAGACAGAGGAATAACCTTTTAGTTACTATTGCACAGGGTTTTAAATACGAAGCTGCATTTCAAAGTAAGACAAGAGCTTTCTTTTATTGGGTATGAGATTATTGTTGTCTACATTGATCGCAGCAACGGTTACGTCGGTGACGGTTTGGGGTGCTGCTACTCCTGATACCTCTGATATCGTTGGAGAAGAAAGTGGGAATGGTATATATAGGTTGGATTTTGATATCCACCGAGGCACCAGTACCAGGGATATGACAAGACACGCCGAAGGCGGTATATCCAAACGAGATGACAGTGTAGAAATGGAAATTAAGAATCAAAGAAGTTTTTATATGGCTACTTTACGAATTGGATCCAATAACCAAAATTTATCGGTTTTGGTGGATACTGGATCGTCTGATTTATGGATCATGGAGAAAGACCTTGACTGTGTGTCAGCATCGTCTTCGTCTTATAAAAAAAATATGGGATTAATTGCATCGAGACCCAATGCTACCAGAACTGAAAATATCATTCAAAGTCATCGGAAAAGTTGCTTGTTTTGTGATGATCATGAAAAAGATGGTTCTGATGGTAGTTTCACCACCACCATCATAAGTACTGGTACTTCTGTCAGTAGTGACTTGGGAGGTGGTCTTATTGGTGGTGGTGGAGGAAGCGGAAGTGGAAGTGGAAATGATGGAGGTGACTCTTCCTCTTCGGGAGGATCAAATACTTGTACTCAATACGGATCATTCTCCACTTCAAGCTCTGATTCGTTCCATAAAAATGATAGTGCAAGCGCTTTCCAAATCTCTTACGGTGATGGTACTACTGCACTAGGATTTTGGGGTTACGATACCGTTAGAATCGGGGACACTAGTGTTAGTGACTTAAGTTTTGCTGTTGTTAATGAAACCGACTCTAACGTTGGGGTTTTGGGTATTGGATTACCTGGTTTGGAAACCACCTATTCGTCTTCCTACCTGGGAAATCCATACCAATATGAAAATTTACCTTTAAAATTGAAAAATAATGGGTTAATTCATAAAAATGCCTTTTCGTTATATTTGGGGGATCAATCAGCTAAAAGTGGTAATGTCTTATTCGGTGCTGTTGATCAAGCCAAATATTCTGGAGATTTACAAACTGTTCCCATCATTAACACATTAAAATCAAGTGGATACGATACTGCCATTAGATTCGAAATCATGGTTGATCTGATTTCAGTGAATGACTCCAATTCAAACGTTAACGTTACCAATAATAAATATACCGCCTTATTAGATAGTGGTTCTACCTTATCATATTTCCCAACTAGTCTTTTTGAAAAATTCGGTGAAGTTTTAGGCGGCAGTTATTCCAGCTCCTCACAAGCTTATGAAATTGATTGTATCGATAATGAATCAGTACAAGTTATTTTCAATTTTAGTGGTAATGAAATTAAAGTTCCCTTAACCAACTTAACCTTATCTTCAGGTAGAACTTGTTACTTGGGGGTTTTGAATCAAAAAAGTGACTACATCTTATTAGGTGATAATGCTTTGCGTTCAATGTACCTTGTTTATGATATAGATGATTATGAAATTTCAGTGGCTCAAGCCAAATATACCACTGACGAAGATATTAAAATCATTTCTTCTTCAGTCCCAGGTGCCACTAATGCTGCCTACTACTCTTCTACTCTGTATTCTGCTGCTTCCGAAGGTCAAGCTACTCAAACTGCCCTGTACCGTGGCTCTTCCAATGGGAAACTGTCTGGGGCTGAAAAATCTACTTCCTACAGTAAAGGCATGGCATTCTTTACTCTTCTTTTTGTTTCATCAATATTCTTCATCTAAGCTCCTTCTCAATAATATATATCATATGTAGAATATATTACCTTAATGTATCTTGACTTATGACTCCAAAGGTTGAAACTACGTCATTCCACGTAGTGTGTAAGGAACAAAGTGTGCGATATCGACTTCAAACTTAAACCAAAACCGAAAAAAAAAAAGCTTGATCGTATTTGTAATCTCTGACTATATCCATTTCTATTACCTGGTCTTTTCTCAACTTGCACCTCTATAGTGGTTTAGACGGGAACTTAGAAAGAAAACTGATGAAATGAATAGGTATGTTGCGGGAGCCCTTCTTACTTACGTTATGTGTTTTGACAAGTACTAACGAGCGATGGACAAAACCGATCTGAGGATCAGTCTAATGATGAACCTTTGCCTCATAGAGGTCGTAGCAACTCTTCTCCTCCACGACCAACCACGTCTACCAGTGACAACAATGAACTGGATGCTGAAAGTGCCGAAAGATCGGGCTCAATGAACTTGTTTGACCGTCTCATGGATAGTATTTTTGATCCTAGTTCCCGAAGAAATGGAGGCTCAACCAATACAAATAGTGAAACTTCAAATCCAGCTTCAAACTCACCTGCTCCTTCCAGTGAGCAAGGGAATGAACCGGCTTTGATTATCATTAACTATGCGTTCACCGACTCCAATAATACCTCTAGTTCATTGGTTATGTCCTTGCCAAATAATCCGTTATATAGACACCCCGCCACCATTCATGAGTTTGTGAGGATTGCTGCCCAGATGGCCTATTCTAGCATAAATGGCCAATTGAACCGCCAAAGAGGTATCACCATGGAAAAATTCAACTTGTTCCCGATTAAAAAGGCACATGAACTTAAAGATATACCGGAATGCTCGATTTGCTTTGAGAAATTTGTTACTTTGAAAGAACAGAAAAATTCACCAGCAAAGGATATTAATACCGATAAAGTCCCGACCAAAAAGAGAAAGTTGAATAATCTGTCAAGTCAAGCTTCAGTATCTTCCTCTCAGGAACACGATCACTTCCACCCGGGTTCTTCTAGTATTCGTCCAGGGTCTTCAAGTAACCCCCCTGTTCCTTCAGAAAGTAATTCACAACCTTCTACCCCCAATGAACAGAGGGAAAGACCAAAATATTTATCTGAATTCTCAGGACAAGGAGAATATGCTCATGTTGCCGTTGAGCTACCTTGTAGCCATGTCTTTGGTAAGTCTTGTTTGTTTGAGTGGTTAAAAGATCATTCAACTTGTCCCTTATGTAGACAGTCATGTGCTGATCCAGAACCAGAACAACAGGATTCAAATCCATTGAATAATGACAATACTTCTAATAATACTGATAATGACAATCGAAACGAATTGAATATTGATCAAATATCAAGTCGAATCTTGAACGGATTAAATGCAGCTTATTCAAATAGAGATGATAATTCAAGTGAAAATAATCTTAGCCAATCCAATACTGAAAATACTACTGAAAGTTCCAGACCAATTGATCAATCATCTACAAGCGAATCTGGCGAACGATCCAACGATGATGATAATTCAAGTCGATCCACTATACGCTCAAGATTTTTCCCTGAGATACGTTTTTTTGATCGTTCTCAATTTAGAAGGGCTTTCACTAGATCTTCAGATAATCAAGCGTCTTCTCCCAGACCAACAAATCCATTATTCCCCAATGTTGTCGAGAGCAGAAGAACCGCTGATGGTGTTGAAACCCGAACCGGTGAAACTAGACCAGAAAGAGGAGTAGATGACGTTCTTGATTTTCTTCATTTGAGAAGTTTATTTAATCAACCCAGTAGATCGGACACCAATAATAACTCGACTACCCAAAATAATGATGAGCCAGTTGACGAGGAATCAAGGTCAACTGATCAGCCATAACTACAACTTTCCCATGCCTACTTATGATTACTCTATCCTTTGCATTCATCGCTTGCATTATGCATCATCTATAAATAGCCTTATGATACCATCTAATTTATGACAGTCCACATAGTGTTTTTTTTTTTTTCTCTTTTTCTTTCCTGATATGTCTTTTTATTCATTTGTATTACTAATATTATGAGAAGAATTTAGCGTATTTAGATCTTTCTTCCTTTTTCTGTTGTTCTATTAGTCTTTCACAATTCTCATATTCTCTTGCGATAACTGCATCATCGGGAATCAATTCTTTAGCCATTGCTAATTCTTTGAGACCCTCTTTATATTTTTTAGTATTTACTAATCCACAACCATGTCTATAATGTGCTTTTGCTAATTCTTGAGGATTCAATTTTGATTTCATATCAATTAAATAACTTGAATAATCAATACATTTTCTGAAATTTTTCAATTGTAAGCAAACTAAAGATAAATTCAAATATAATTTTTTCTTCAAATCTTCATACTTAGCAAACCAATCCGGTTCTTGATCTTGATCTGGGAAATATTCCATCACATATCTTAAACATTTTTTATATTTAAGAAAAGCTTGTTGTTTTTCTCCTTTTTTGAAAAGCAATCCACCACTTTCTTTGATTTTGGAAGATGCATGATAAACCGATTCAGAAGATTCCTTATCTATATGTACATCGTCATCAGGGTATTCTTCGAAAATATCACCCCCTATAGGATCATAACTGGCATTATATATCGGAACTTCATCTCCTTCATTCCAAATACCAGAGTTATAAATAATCACCCTTTCAGAAAGTTTAGGAACATTTTCACTGTCAGTATTAACATTCTCAATTTCTCTCACCACTGATTTCCCGTGAATCACTCTACCAAACACTGTATGCTTACCATTAAGATGTGGCTGTGGGTAAGTGGTGATAAAAAATTGGGACTTATTGGTATTCGGACCACTATTGGCCATACATAACTTGAATGGTCCATCTAATGCTTCAGATAAGTTTTCATCTTCAAAAGCCTCATTGTTATAGATGGAAATCCCTCCTTTACCTACGTTTGGATCGGGATATTTATCAAGGTCCTTCGCATATGTAAGATCACCAGCTTGTATCACGAAATTCTTAATAACACGATGGAAATAGTTCCCCGTAAGGCTTCTTTCTTTGATATCAGTCAGACACAATTCTAAGAAATTCTTGACCGTTTTGGGTGCAAGATCGTCATAGAGCTCCACCACAATTCTCCCACAGTTTCTGTCGCCTACGGAAACGTCAAAGAAGGCACAAGGCCTAACTAGCTCAACCTTCATTTTTATCTGGCTGTGAAATATAGGAATGAGTTCTCGAGATTATTTTCCAGTTCTACGATGACTTTTTTTTTTCTACTGCAATCGAAAAAGATCCAATGACGATGAGATTTTTTATAAGCAAAGCAAAGCAAAGTCTTTTAGCAATAAGTACTCCGCATATACCAGGACCACAACCACAGGGAAACGATGTTTTCTTATAGAAGAATAAGTCAGAGTCAGATGCAATATATCCGGATGTACCAGAGGAGGTACGCAAGTACCAATACAGGTAGATACGAACAACAACTTTATAAAGCAAGTGAAAATGTCAATACCTTATTAGAAAAACACGATAGATCATCTTATATATTGGCACAGTATATGCCCGAGCCGTGTCGGAATGCGTTTCTAGCCATTCGAGCATTCAACTTGGAGATCAATAAGATTAATGACGGGGGGAATAATGCAGCATCGGTTGCATCCAAAGCATCAAATCAACTATCGAGTTCGATGGGAATTCTGACAGCGGATATGAAATTCAAATTCTGGAGTGACTCATTATCCAGAGTGTTCACTGACCCAACTTCCGAAAAAGATATTGGAGAACCAATTGCAATTTTGTTAAGAGATGCATTAAGAAATGACTTAAATCTTGATATTTCACCATTCCATCAATTTTTACAAACAAGAAGACATTTTTTGAAGTCCAAGCAGTTTCAAACGGTGGATGATATATGTGCCTATGGAGAAGGTACCTATTCACAATTGAATTATCTAACTCAAGGATTATTACTATCTCCATCGATATCCCCATCAGCCATTAGTTTATTGGAACATTCGACATCATTACAGAATAAAATCAGTGATATCGCAGCACATATAGGACAAGCCACTGCCGTCGGAGCCATGATCTTGGGATTGAACTATTACTCAGGAACAAGAAATCAAATCACGCTACCAATTGATCTCATGACAAAACATGACTTGTCCCAAGAATCAGTCTTGAGAATCACCCAAGGTCATTTGAAAGATGAAAACGATATTAAAGAAGTCAAGGAGAAAATTCAAAACGTAGTATATGAGACTGCAGTCAGTGCTAATGACCATATATTGGCTGCTAGAGATAAGCTCGATAAATCAAGAAATGAAATCATTCAAGTAGTTAATGAAAATAAAAATGATAAGCTAATTCAACTGAACCATAAAAAATGGAGGAAAAACTTACCTGATGTCATTTTCACCCCCTTCATGGTGGCAATCCCAACCACTTTATACTTACAAAAATTAGAAAAATATGATTTTGATGTTTTCCATCCAAAGTTACAACAGAAAGAATGGAGATTGCCGTGGACCTCTTTCAGAAACTACTACCAAAGAAACATTTGACTGTGCTATATATCCTTATACAACTGTACAATTTATACAACCGACTATTTATTCAACCATATAAAGCTAGCTTATGTTATTCTTATATAGTTATTTCAATACATTTATTTGCATTCATTTTCTGTTAACGTACACTAAAACTGCTAACAAGTGAAAAAAAAAAGGAACACCGACGAAAAATTGTGAATCAAAGCACAGAAAAAAAACACTGAATAGTGAAAAGTGGACAGCTTATCAACAAATCCATTCACGATAAGTGTAATTACATTGGGAACTATTCTACAATCATTCATTGTGCAATTGTCAGGGCTCCTCTCGTTTGTTGCATTGAAATTAGTTTAAATTTGTGGGTTTCTTCAAAAATTAATTAAGGCTATAAAGGTATTGGCATTCTTTGATTATAGTTCATAGGAGTTAGGATGCAGAGCAGATTTACATCGTCGCCAACTCCACTTAGCTTGCCAGGCCATCTGCAGCCACAAACGTTTAATAGCTCAATCCACCATGAGTCTAATCTAGTGGCCATTGATCCTCTTACTCTCATGATCAGTGAGTGTATGACTATTTCATCTGCGATGAGGAAAGTAAGTAGATGGTCTCAAAGTGGTGTTGCTGCCATTCTAGGTGCTGGCGATATTTTTGGAGAAGATGAATCAATAACTTCCAATTTGGGGTTGAGTTCAAATATTACAAACACCAATAATCGATCTAATAATTTTAATGATAATCCTTTGTTATCTAGTTTTTTACAACTAAGATCAATGTTAGCTGAAGCCGATAATCTATACCATATTGATAGCTTAACCCTTTTACAACCTTTTTTACTTGTTATCAAATCTTCATCTACTTCTGGTCATATAACAGCATTGGCTCTTAATTCAATTTCTAAATTCATCACTTATGACATTATATCCTTGAAGTCAAAGAATTTACAAAGCAGTTTGGTCCAAATAATATCCTCTTTAACTCATTGCCGTTTTGAAGCTGCAGATCAAAACTCAGATGATTCTGTTCTTTTGAAAGTTCTTAGATTATTAGAGTTAATTATAGAGTGTCCCTTATCAAATTTATTACCAAATGAAGTGGTTTCCGAAGTTATTCAAACTTGCCTTTCCTTAGCTTGTAATAAAAGAAGAAGTGAAGTGTTAAGAAGAGCAGCAGAAATGGCCATGGTATCCATAACAATTCGTATTTTTAGTAAAATTAAAGAATTAGAACCAGAATCCGAAGGCTTGGATGATTTACAAACTAATTTCACCGAAACTAAATTACCTGAAGATATAATTGGTGGTACTGATGCAAGCAATAAAACTCCTGCAGTTGGAACTCCTAAGCAACTGCTTTCCGAAGTTAACGTTAATGAATCAAATAAAATTGATGAAAAGAAAGAAATTCAAAAGCCAAATGCTGAAGAAACTTTTGACCATGAAGACCCATTTGATATTGTATGTATCAATGAATTTGCAGGGATCTTGATTTCGATGATTTCACCTTCCAATCAATATCAACATATGGAAAGTACAAGAGTTTTTGCCTTATCCTTAATAAATACCGCATTAGAAGTTTCCGGTGCTGAAATTCCTCGTCACCCATCTTTAATGACTTTAGTTTCAGACCCGATTTCAAAGCATGTCTTACAAATAATTACCACAACGGATTCTCCTGCATTACTACAAGCAGCTTTGCAATTGTTTTCTACCACCGCAATTGTCTTAGGTAGACATTTGAAATCACAAATTGAATTAACTTTCACGCTTTTAATCAGATCTATATTACCGGATACCAAAGCAGATAAAAAAAATAATACTACCCTTAGAGGCAATGAAACATCTGTCTCTAATAGAATTTCTGCTTCTAAAGAAATGTTGATTGAATCATTATCATTGCTTTGGACCAGATCCCCTATCTTCTTTACTAATTTATTCATTGATTATGATTGTGATTTCGATAGAAGCGACTTGGCTATAACTGCTTTGGATTTCTTATGTAAACTTTCGTTACCGGAATCAGCATTATACACTACAGATAACGTTCCACCAATTTGTTTGGAAGGAGTTTTGTCATTCATTGGAGGCATAAATGATAGAATCAAACTCTTATCTGCTCAAAAAGACTCTGGTGATATTGATACTCATCTGTTGATCATGGATAAGAATCAAAAAACATCCTTTGTCAAATCTACTGAAATCATGAATAAAAACCCAAAAGAAGGTATTAAAGAATTAGCTAAAAGAGGTTTCATCACTGACGAGAAAGATGTTAAAGAGCTTGCTAAATTTTTCTTCACTAAGTCTGTAAGACTTAACAAAAAGATTTTGGGTGAATTCTTAACCAAACAATCAAATGCTGAGTTATTAAAGGAGTTTATAAATTTGTTTGAATTCTCCGACTTACGAGTAGATGAAGCTCTTAGAATATTATTGAAAGCTTTCAGATTACCGGGTGAATCTCAGCAAATTGAAAGAGTCGTTGAGTTGTTTGCTGAAAGATATGTAAATTGTCAACATCCTGCTGAAGAATCAGATAAAATCTCACAAAAGAAGGAAGACGAGGCCAATGAAGATGAGAAAGCAAAAGAAGAAGAAGAAGCAGCAGCAGAAGAAGAAGAGCTAGAACCAGTCAGGCCTGATGCTGATGCCGTATTCATCTTATCCTATTCAGTAATCATGTTAAATACCGACTTACACAACCCTCAAGTTAAAAGCCATATGACCTTAGATTCATACAAGAAGAACTTAAGAGGAATTTATTACGGTAAAGATTTCCCAACTTGGTATTTATCAAAAATTTACTATTCCATTAGAGATCGTGAAATAATCATGCCCGAAGAACACCACGGTACCGATAAATGGTTTGACGACGCTTGGCATAATTTGATTTCCTCGCAAGCTTCTGTAATTGGCTCTGAAGCAAATAGCGATTACAATCAAAAGCAGTTTGGAATTGGCCATATTTGCCAATTCGACAGAGTCTTATTCGAGTCCATAGTTGATCGCTTGATTGATACATTGATCAGTGTTTTCAAAGAGGCTACAGATGACCATGTCATAACCAGATTAATGTCCTCGATAGACAAATGTGCCAATATTTGTATTTATTACAACCTAAGCTCATCCGTTGATAAATTGATTGGACTTTTGGCGGACTTGACTTCATTGACTAACACAACAGAAAGCCCTATAATCTCAGATGACGGTCCTAGGGATGAAATTCCAATAACTCAAATAAAGATTGAAAATAAAGAGGACGCTATAACTGTTAGTGAAATGGCGGTTTGGTTTGGAAGAGATTTTAAAGCTCAATTATCAACAGTTGTTTTATTTAGATTGATCAAAAAGACAGATTGTAAAGTCACTGATTCTTGGGACAAGGTGCTTAAAATTATTTTGAACTTATTTGAGAATTGTTTAATAAACCCTAACTTATTTAGTGATTTCCAAAAGAAGGTAAAACTAAATCCATTACCAAAAGTAAAACCTCGTTACATTATTAACAGAAGTAAAGCAATGAAGGATTCTGGTATTTTATCTACTTTTTCGTCATTTTTGAAAGGTTACTCTGATGAACCTCCTGAGCCATCAGATCAAGAAGTGGAATCTACGCTTTCAGCTATTGACTGCGTTAGATCAGTGAATGTTCCATCTATCTTTGAGAACATCTCCCGTGGCTCGCCTACAGACTTGAAATTGTTTCTTCAAAAACTTTTGAAATCCTTACCTGAGTTTTCAGATAAAAGTAAGAGATATTTCGAAACTGAAACTTTATTTATATATGAAGTTGCAGTATGTTTTTGTTTATTATTAAAAGATTTTGAGACGACTAGTCTTGTAGCAAATTCCATTGCTTCTGCCTTGAACGTTTCCGAAATTTCCAAAAAAACAATGTTGAGGTTAAGTGCATATTTATTCATTACCTTGAGACATGGTGAAGAGACTAAGGATGATGTTGCCCAAAAAGTTTTGAGAAGTCTTGTATTACAAGACAAGGAATTATCATCAAAACATGGAGCTCAATTAGTTCAACCATTAATTTCTCTAGTTGATGATGACTCACCTTATTGTAAAGTTTTACTTAATAACGATGATTATTGGAAACTTATGAGAACATTTGGATCAAACCCTACTCATGCCCATGAAATACTTCCTTTTGTTGACGGAATAATTAAATCTTCACCCAATGACATTACACCAACGAACTATATGTTAATATTGGGTTTGTTGGATGAAGTTTCCTCTTTAGGAGCCATTGGTTCTCAATGGGAACAAGAGAGTGAACAATTAGCGGGCTCAGGCCAGAAAGTTCCTGAAAGCGCCGACAACGTTTACTTCAAAGATTTAGTTGAAATCTCCAAAAAATCAATTGGCTTGACCTCTGAACTTGCCTCTGTGGTAACAAGAAAAGACTTTGAAGGAAAAGAACTCTCATACTCTTTAGTTCAAGCTTTGGCGCATCAATGTTTCAACCCATGCAGAGAAATAAGATCGTTTGCCATTAAAACATTGCAGGCTACTGTTTTGTCCACCGAGATCAGTGACGAATTCACTGCTTTTGGTATATTTGAGTACGGTTTATTCCCACTTTTAACAGAGTTATCTAAACATGATGTGTTACAAACTGATATCAAGGGTTTCATGTCCACTCAATTCGAAGCCTTATCTCTTATTAGTAGAGTATTTTTGAATTACCACACTAAATTTGTTGAACAACAAACTGACCGTGCCTGGTTGACAATTCTTGACAATTTCATCATATTCAACGATCTTGGTGAGAAGTACAACAAATCCAATAATCTTATCAAAGAGTCAGGAATAGAATTAGTCAAGAACATGGTGTTAGTGTTGCAAAATGGCAAGATACTTACTGAGGAGAACAATGATTTGTGGAACTCATCCTGGGAAAAGATCGATACGTTGTATCCATCGTTGAAAAACGAAATCGCTGGCTCAAACGATAAGGGTCCAGTTGAGGACAATACGACTAAGAGTGATAAAGGTGAAAAAGAGCAAACTGTCGAACCGGAAGAAACCGAAGTAGATTGATAACTAGGCTGGTCCTGTCGCTACAAAGCGAATTCATTTGTATAATTTGTATAGATATAGACAGCGTTGTATAATACCATTCTTAAGTATCTTGATGTAAGTGCGCATTTCGTTTTTTTGATCTTAAAAGTTTTTTATTCTATTTTTTTTTTTTTCATTTCTAGTACTGTCGGCGTAACTTTAAACCAGAGAAGCTAAAAAACCTTGTTGTCGCAATGGTCACGAATAAGACTTATACTGAAAGAGCAGAAGCTCACCCATCCCCGGTAGCTCAAAAGTTATTCAAACTTATGGATTCTAAGAAGACAAATTTATGTGCTTCTGTTGATGTCAAAACTACAAAAGAATTTTTAGACTTAATTGATCAGTTAGGTCCATTCATTTGTTTGGTGAAGACTCACATCGATATAATCGATGACTTTTCCTACGAAGGAACAATTGTTCCATTGCTAGAACTCGCCAAAAAGCATCAATTTATGATTTTTGAAGATCGTAAATTTGCTGATATTGGTAACACTGTTAAATCTCAATATTCTGGTGGTGTTTATAAAATTGCTCAATGGTCAGACATCACTAATGCCCACAGTATAACAGGTAATGGTATTGTTCAAGGGTTGAAAGAAGCTGCTAAAGAGACTACCAGTGAACCAAGAGGTTTATTGATGTTAGCAGAATTATCCTCAAAAGGTTCATTGGCTTATGGTGAATACACTGAAAAAACAGTTGATATAGCTAAAACTGATAAAGAATTTGTTATTGGATTTATAGCTCAAAGAGATATGGGTGGAGTTGAAGAGGGATTTGATTGGATCATCATGACTCCAGGTGTCGGGTTGGATGATAAAGGAGACGGTTTGGGTCAACAATATAGAACTGTTAATGAAGTTGTTTCTACTGGTACTGACATCATTATTGTTGGTAGAGGTTTATTCGGTAAAGGAAGAGACCCAAGTACTGAAGGTCAAAGATACAGAGCTGCTGGTTGGAACGCTTACTTAAAGAAGACTGGTCAATTATAAGATATACGTGAGTAAATATGATCAATATTATACAGTTAATAAATATAAACGAGAGAAAAAAATTATATAAAAGAATATGTACAAGGAATAAATGTAGTAATCATTATGAGCTTGATGAAGAACTTAGCTTGGACCCAAAACACCTTCATCTTCGAGACTATCGCTCAACTTTGTTCTCATAATTTCAAAGACGAGTAACCCAATAGTTGTACTTGGAATAGTTGTATATGCGTATCTAAAGAATCCTTTATAACTTACGTTAAACCAGGATAATTTTGATTTGTGTTTCATTTTAATAACCTGTAAATAGGTATCGATGTATGAATTATAGTAAAGTTTAATGAATGGTCTTCTTGAGTTTCTTGAGGCATTATAAACATCTAGGGCTTCTAATCTAGACAAATGAATTTTTTGAACTTTTGTTAAAGGGTATTGAATAGCTAAAAGTGAAAATGCAGCCGATGCTCCGGCCAATAATACAAAAGTCGATTTTAAAAGTTTTGTCAGTCTTTTTTCTTCTAGTTTTACTTTATTTTGATCAACTTGAGGAGCCTTTGAAATTATACCAATGTAGGTAAATTTGTCATTCAAAGACTTTTTGAAGCCTTGATAAGAATTAATCATTTTATAAGTTAAATTATAACCCTGAGTTTTAACTGTTTCGAAAGCAGAAAAATAAAAGGCGAAACCCAAACTCTCTTTAATTAATGAAAATCCATATCCTGCAAATACCCCAACCAAACCGATTTCTTTCAATTTATTGAGACCATAAATCCATAAGTTTCTTTGGTGTTCGTTATTTAACATTTCTGCTGCAGACAGTCTAGTATAAATTGCATCAATAGGAGCAGCTGCTAAGGATTGTGCAATTCCTGCTATAAAACCAGCTTTAAAAGTATCAACAGTTGTAAAATAAGAATTTCTTAATTGCGATTGATTTTTATCAAAGTTATGATTTGAGTTGAAATGATCTAATGCGGTTAAATAGGTACCATACAATATCAAACCGGTTGCCGAGTTTGCTAAAAGGGGAGGTAAAACTTGTTCAGGAATAAATCTCCAACCTTCCTTTTTAATAACGTTTATAAGCATTCCAATCGAGGAATGGGTTCTAAAGCTGTAAGGTTTTGAGTGGATGTTATCATGTTTATTGGCCAATTCTCGAACGTAAGCCAAATAGTCAAATCTAGAAGGTCTAAATAGTTTAACTGGAGTTCTCAAGTATAATGACTGTAATTGATAAACCAATGCTCTTATCCCTGCAGTGGAAACAGTAACCGTTTGATTATTTCTGGAATTATATGAAGCCTCAGAAGACGAACTAATAACCATATCATTATCTAGTCGATTTGAGTCCCGTCCTGATATTGAAACACTCATTATATGTGAATCATTTGTTGGATGGCGATGGGAGAAATGGAGGTTTAGTGTTTGGAGATAATTGTTTATGAGGCTCCTTAACAAACGCTGCTGAATATGAGTGGCCTATAATGGGAGAATTGGCAGGTTACAAATATTTGAATAACAAGGTTTATTTACTGATTTTCACAACAAAAAGATCAATAGATCGTTATCAACATTTTCCTACTGCTTTTTTCCTTTTTCCTTCAGACTAAAAGTGTGAACTCGAGGCCTTTTCATTCGGATGTACGGATGTTTTATTTTACAAATTACTGATCTCTATATAGAATGATTTCACTTTGTTTGAAGTATCTTCTTGCATCTTCATCAATTAAGACAAGCGATAAGTAAGTTCTTGTAGAGAATTTTTTATTGACGTCACGATAAGTTGGGGTTAAATCGAAGCCACCCAAGAACAATCTTATTGGGATTGTTTCACCTTTAACTGGAGCCCCGTCCATGATTTCGAATCTTACTAGAGTTTCGCTATCAGTGATTTGATTTGGGGGCAGACCCACTGTTTCACGTTTGATGAGCGATAATTCCATATGTTTAATTTTAAGTCTGACTAATAAGAAAAAGATTCGACCAACAATGACATCTTTCAAGGAGAATCTTGATTTCAGGTACTCGAACTCTATATGTAAGCAGTCTTCTATACCAACGTCCATTTTAACAGTTGTAGGGATATTATTTTTAGATAATTGGGAAGAATTTTGAGATGACTCTGAAGAGTTTGATAATGAATTGTATTGAAAGACCCATAATTCTTTTTCTCTTGTTATTTCGGAGGAGGATTTTCTAGATACAATGACTTTAATAAAATACCTTAACCTAGCATTTTTACCTCTGTAACTTTCATATTGTTTTTCGACATTTTTAAATTCAAAAGGATAAGTTTCTGGATGGGTTAATTGGGAAGGAGACGCTAACTCGGTTGCCAAAGAAAGAAATTCATTTGAGATTAAAGAGTCGGTGTTTGTTTCAATGACCCCTAATAATTGAACTTTTATCCCCATATGATCGACTTTTTTACCGTCTCTAGTACGAATTGTGATTGAACCTTTTACACTTTCACCATCTTGATAGACTGGTAATTTTTCTAATCTTCCTTGCGGGGTTTTCACGTCGATTGTTTTACGGGATTGTTCGTTATCTAGCCTGATTTCAATATCTAGCGGTGCTTTAAAGAATATAGACATGATTGAGGTATATGGGGAGTTAATAAACAGGGAGTTGATAATTTATTTCGAGAAAAGATATAGCACCCGTCACGTGAGACAACATACAATTATAAAGTTATACAACATACAATTATAAAGTTTTACAACATACAATTATAGTTATACAACATACAATTATAAAGATATACAACATACAATTATAGTTATACAACATACAATTATAAAGATATACAACANTATACAACATACAATTATAGTTATACAACATACACTTATATATTATACCGTAATACAGTTAATACAGGGATAGTTAATACAATTAATACAAAACAGTTAAAGGATAACAAATTTATTAATACGTAAAGGCATTTAAGTCACAAACGATAAGACAATTACTTAGAAGATTTGACGACATGTTCTAATAAATCGATAACTCTGGTAGAGTAACCGTATTCATTATCGTACCAAGCAATTAATTTAACAAAAGTTGGAGATAATAAGATACCGGCTTTAGAATCAAAGATGGAGGAGTATTCTGAAGTCAAGAAATCAGTGGAGACAACGGCTTCATCGGTGAAACCTAAAACTCCCTTAAGAGGACCATCAGCAGCTTTTTTAACAGCGGCAGAGATTTCTTCGTAAGTGACTGATTTCTTCAATCTGACGGTTAAATCAACAACCGAGACATCGACGGTTGGAACTCTAAGAGCAAGACCGGTAAGCTTACCATTTAATTCTGGAATAACTTTACCAACGGCTTTAGCAGCACCAGTAGAAGAAGGAATGATATTACCAGAAGCAGTTCTACCACCTCTCCAATCTTTGTGAGAAGGACCATCGACGGTTTTTTGAGTGGCAGTAATGGAGTGGACAGTGGTCATTAACCCTTCTTCAATACCAAAGTTATCATTGATAACTTTAGCTAAAGGAGCCAAACAATTGGTAGTACAAGAAGCATTGGAAACAATGTTTAAATCTGGAGTGTATTTTTCTTCATTGACCCCAACCACAAACATTGGAGCATCAGCAGAAGGAGCAGTAATAACAACTTTTTGGGCACCAGCATCAATATGTTTTTGAGCACCTTCCAATTTGGTAAAGATACCGGTGGATTCAATAACGTATTGAACACCGTTGGCCCCCCATGGAATGTTGACTGGGTCTCTTTCTTGGAAAACCTTAACGGTTTTACCGTTAATGACTAAATCAGAACCGTTGGCTTCAACTTGTCCCTTATATCTACCGTGAGTAGAATCATATTTGAACATATAAGCAGCGTAATCAGCAGCAATGAAAGGATCATTAATGGCAACAACTTGCAAGTCCGGTCTTTCTAAAGCGACCCTGAGGACTAAACGACCAATACGACCGAAACCATTAATACCAATAGTAGTAACCATTTTTATTTAATTTGATAGACTGTTTGTTTTGTAGACTGTTTGTTTTGTAAAGTGAATTGAACTTTGACAATGATGATGAAACAATTACCACTCTACCCAGGATTCCGGTTGCTCTTATATATTCCTCTTGCAACACATGGTTCACCCTTGTCATACCACCAATTTGGATGGCTGCTAAAGTTTGTCACCAGATGAGCGCACGGGATTTTATTGTGGGAGTTAATTAGTGGTATGACTTCCTGCACACCGCTAACCCCGGCTATACTATTACTCCTACTATTACTCCTACTATCATACTCTATCATACTCTATCATGCTATACTCTATCATGCTCCATCATGCTATGCCATCAATATACTGTATCATACTAGACCACTGGGTAGGGTGATAGGAGTATGCGCATAGCGATCAGTAAAGCCTAGTCTATAGTCTATAGTCTATAAAGTACAGTATCAGGTATCAGTAAGTATCAGTACGGGTATTACAAGTATAAGTATTACAAGTATTACAAGTATAAGTATTACAAGTATTACAAGTATAAGTATTACAAGTATTACAAGTATAAGTATTACA